TTCTCCTGTGCTTTTAATTTGCATGAACTTTCCCTATCCAGTTTCCTGGTTAGACTTTGAATTCCTTTATTAAGTCTACCAATTTTCTTCTTATCATCATTTTTCTCTACCAACAAATTGTTCACTTGAAACTGTTCAACATTCAAGTTCATTTCACAGTTCATTTTTTCCATTAGTTGTGTTTTGCCTTTCTTTTTCTCCTTACTGTGTTTCTTTGTCATTTTGTTTACTAAGTCATTACCTCGCCGCTCTGTAGCCTTGACCTGCCGTACAGAGGGCGATCGTTTCACCGGACAGTACCGTGCCATATGTCCGGGTTGTGAACAAGACAAACAAATTGGTCGACCGTCGGCCGTCCATTGGAGTGATGGCTTGGCAGGACGCGGCCGTCCAACCCGTCCCTGTTTTGTACCGTTCTTTTCCTGATTCTCAGCTGTTGACCTGCTTTCCAACCACTTCAAGCGTTGGTCAACCTTCTCTAGGTGGGCCAACAGTTGAGCCATCATGGTCTCCATCGTGTCGGCCCCTGTGGGTGGGGATTGTCTCTGTTCAGGCACAGAGACTTTGTCCACCGAACAGTTCGATTGGTCCTCATCCTCGGACCTGCGGATCGCTGAGTTCCTGACCTGAAGGAAGGTCAACTGCTGGTCTCTGTGGACCTCCTCTTTCAACTCTCTCCTTAAGATCGGGGTTGCTAGCCCCTCGATGAAATGGTCCCTCAGTAGGCGTACATCAATGTCCGGTGATTTGCCCTTTACCAAATCAAAGGCCCTGTTCATCCTGTGTGAGTACTCCATCACACTCTCCGCCATTCTCTGCTTTAAGCCCACGAATCCCGATAGCAGTTGCACTCCCGACCGTCTCTCCCCAAAGGTCTCCATAATCAGATCTAGCACCTTATCTGGATCTGATTGGACGGTCCTATCGTGGCACTTAACCTCTGCCCTAACCGTTTCACCTATACTGCCCATCAGCAGTCTTAATCTTTCCTCTGGTGACATATGTCTCGAGGCCCAGGCCGCTTTGACCTCTTCACTGAACCTGTTGGTTAAAGTTGGATCTCCGTCCCCGTAAAATTTGTTAATATGGGACTCTCTGGGTAGGACCACTATATGGGTCTGCTTCTCGTCCAGAGTAGACATTTTCTTCCTTAAGTACTAAAAAAAAAAGAGTTCTTTCTTACCGTGTGTGTATGAAAAATTTTTCCTCGTTCCTCAATTTTCACAGTTCCTGAATGTCCGAATTCACACACACACTAAACACAGTTATGCACAAGGTTGACTATAGGTGCCTTAAACGGCAAGTCTAGTTGAATTCATCCTGATCGCAGCGCCAATTGTGACGAGCGAACATTTATCCTGCCGACAACGCCAATTGTAACGAGCCAACAGTTACCATGCTCGCAACGCCACATGTAATGAGACCTAATTGCCTGTAGTGCCACGTGTTAACGAGTTTAACCACTCATTCTAGACAACATTGACCACAGTATAGATACTCAAGATGCAGGTTCGCTATTGATCCTTTATTACATGAATCAAGAAATGCTTCATAATAACACAATAAATCAACAGGAATGCTTCTCAATAATAGTCTGAATCAACTGACCCCTAACAGTCCTTCACTAGGCTTCATATAACTGAATCCACATGTCTATAATCCTTCTTAACACAATACGGCTAACCCGTTCTATAACCGACTTGACATAGTCACACAGACTGACTGATCTAAGCGAGCGATGAAAGAGGCAAGAGCCTCGAAACGGGAAGAGGACGAGTTCTGCCGTCCCCTCCTATTTATGCCTTGAAATCGTAGTCGTACTTGTCTCCATTTCCGTAATCGATACTTGTAATCGATGTATCCGAATACTCATGTCGCAGTTTCTGACGTACCGTCCGATTCACTAAAACATCTGCGTCCCATCCATCAAAGTTGACAGCTCGTCTGAAACTTCTCGTACCGTTTCCCAAAATAGCACGCGTTGGCTTTGAGATTGTTATCAGACCGATCCAATAAGCCACCTGTTATGGTTGCGTCAGATTTCATACTGCGTCGCGGCTTCTCGTTCGTTATCATTTGTAACTGGTAGTTAGGCCTACCCCAGTTACATAAATATAAAATATATATGGTGAGGGGGGTGGAGACGCCAAATTGAAAGTTTGTCTCCGGGAGGGGTCTTTCAGACTCTCTAGTTCAACCAAAAATGAAAAATAACAACAATGTTTGAAATGACAACCAACCAACACCATAAGAGCTTAAACAATCGTAAATTTTGTGTATTAAATCCAACCTTTTTATCTGGTAAAAAGCAATTTTAAAATGTTGCTCGTCTATTAATTAGAACCACTACGCATTTAATTTATGATCATGTCTTTGAAATTGTATTTAAATAAATCGGGAGTGAGCTCCCCTAAACTTTCTCGAATATTCTAATATAACACTACGGGGTATGGCAACTCGGGACAATATTTTTAATCCATTTTTAATTACTTAATTTTTTTTCTAATAGAATAGAATCTCTTAAAATAAAACGTTCATTGAAAATTCAAAGTTCCAAAAATGAACCGACCATTGACACTACCAGACGTAAAAACAATAATAATGTGATGGGGTGGGGGTGGATCACTAATCAGGGGTAGAGGTGGGAGTGGTATCAGGGAGTCAGGACCACTTTTGCGATGTAGAAATTAATGTTTCAAACTGAATCTCAGCATTTATTTCACGTTTTGAAAGACTATTTTTGTAAACTGTAATAGAATTGTGTAACCTATTGATATGATCAGTGTTGAAACAGCTCAGCAAATATTTCAGAAAGAAATCGATATATTAAGAAAAGAAATGCTGCGATTTTAAAAACATGGTTGGGGGGGGGGGGGGGGCAAGGAGTGGTTAGCATAGGTATGACGTCATTTTATGAAAGTTTTGAGTTTGTAGGGGGGGGGGGGTAACTTTGGGACTTTCAGTCTTTATGATAACTGGCATGTTGATGTTATTATATTTCCTAGAATCATTAAAATTTAAAATAAAAATAAGCTATTAACGACTTTTGTAAAAGTAAAAAAAAAGGAAAAACAAAGTAAAAATGAGCCTTGCGTCAGCCGAGAATCGAACCAGGATCGACTGCTTGGAAGGTAACCATGCTGACCTTTACACCACCGCCGACGGTAGCTAAATTCCATTGAAATTCAAATCGTATAGTAAATAATTTGACAAACATATAATCGTAAATAAGCCGTCTTTGTTACAAAATGAATATAAACATATAGACAATAAAATTTTAATAATTTCTGATAGGGACGTAAATAATTTCTCCCCCATCTAACCCTTCTGATGTAACAACCTGAGCTAGGTAAATTGTCATTAATGTAGGGATATTTTCCTGAAAACACAACGAATAATTTCAATGATTTCCTAAGTGCAGTCAATTATCTCCCATATTGAAATATACATCTTATAATGGGAAACTAAAAATGTATTCTCATTAATATTTTAATTAATATTTTGGGAAGTACAATGCTTATATAATGTTTATAAATATTTATTGTCTTAATTTAAACAATATTTTGTTGTTAGATTTAGTAATTGGAGTATTTTATTTGTTTAAATTATGAAAAAACTGTAACTACATACGAAAACAAAAACTCGTTGTTTTATTGCATTTTTATCCTTATAAATAAACACGATACGCTTTCTAGGTGTTGGGAAGCTCAAATTTAAAATATAACCTAATAATTATTTTTCATGTCCAAACAAACAAAATGGCGGCCCACATGAAAGGAACTCTTACACGTTACGAAGACTCAAAACTAATTCAAACATTATTTGCTGATTTAAGGTCATGCAAGATCCTTAGCAGGGGTCGGCAACCTTTTGAGACCGAAGAGCCAAAAAGTTACAATTTACAAAATTTCAATTTTTAAAGAGCCACTAACATTTTTATTTCAATATTATGACCTTATAATCTTTATTTAGGATTTGGTGTATATATATATATATATATATATATATATATATATATATATATATATATATATATATATATATATATTAAAAAACAGTCCGTCAGCCGGGAATCGAACCCGGATATATATATATATATATATATATATATATATATATATATATATATTATATATATCAATGTATGTGTGTGTGTTTGTTTTCTTTTATGCATTACTACACCTTTTGTCCGATCGCAATGAAACTTTGGGAAGTTGTTGAGAATACTCCAGGAAAGGTTTCTGATAAAAAGGTTTTTCAAATTCGCAAAATTGGCGCCCCGGTAGCGCACTATTCGATTCTTCTCTATATACTTTATATAAAAATAAATGTCGATTGCGGTTCCACACCTTTCATCCGATCGTCATGAATCCTCAAGGAGTTGATTAAAACACTTCAGGGGAGGTTTGTAAAAAAAAAATCATTTTAAATTTCTCATAGGCGGCGCCCAGGTGGTGCATTTTTTGTCAATACACCTTTTGGCGCCCAGAGTTCCTGAGCGGTTATGTTAGTATTTGGCATCCGTTAATCGGGCGTCCTGCATAGTATGTAAAGGGTACTACTATGTTCAGCGACAAAACTGCAACAGGCGCAACCACTGAAGCCTCGTCTATTGCCCAACACGAAGCACCCCGGGCTCGCCTGTGAGCACTATGGCGCTTGGTTCGTTTTTAAAAATAGGCTATACACTATAGACAAGATGGACAAAGATACGTTCATTTTAAACAGCGCGATAGGGCTATGGATACAATGAGTTTCTTTAGTCGCTCAAATCAGGTGCGTTCTCCGGCGTATCTGCAGGATGCGATTTAGCGCCCAGGGCTGTCCCGCAAGCAATAAGCGCCTACCTTTGTTTTAAGGCGCACCATACACTACGACATTCGATAATTAAACCGAGCTAGAGGTCGTACGCTGCGCCCCTGCGGTAGTGTAATCGGGTTCACGAGAGCACCTCTTTCCGTCCTCGACAGTTAGGCGGTGAGTTAGTTAGGCAAATTGTCATGAGTGGATTAATCGAAGCAAGTCTTCTTAAAGCTAATATGGTGATGGATCAATTTCAAGTTTTGGTAGCAGCCAACAAAGCAGTCCACCTTCAACGTACAAACTCAATGGTAACAAAGAATGTGCAATCAGAGATTTTATATAGTCTTTCATCAAGCAAAAATATTTCTGAATCTTTTCGATCTTTTGGTGCATCAGATTCAGACAAAAGTGTGTTTGTAGCTATTGTGGATGACACTGATTTCAATACATTGAACAAAATATCTGAATTGCTTGGGAAAGATCCATCTGATTTAGATCAACTTCCGAAAATAGCAGACACAAAATTAATCACAAAGGTATATAAACTAACAGAAGAGGAGTTTTCAAACTTTTCTTTACTGGATTCTCTTGTGGCCAGCATATCTTCGAAAGAAATAATAACAGCAGGGAAAGGAAAAGACTAAATTTTATTATCATCTCATCATAATAAATCTTGTTTGTAAAATGAAAAAAAAAATTAAACTACAAGTCAACAGCCACAACAAAACAATTGCGCTTTATTTTATTACTATAACTAATAAAATAACAACTATAAACTACTTTGTACATGCAATGAGAATAAGAAATTAAAACAAACTTTCTCCTTTTAATAAAAGCTTATGTGGCTAAGATCAAAGTGTAGTATCTGTTATGGATCTACATGGAACTAAGTCATTTGGTTGGTCAGCCCTTTTTAGGGCTGGCTGCCGGGGTCGAGAGGCGGTCAATCTACTACTCAACACATCCCTCGAAGTGCACATGCCCTCGAGATGAGTCACCCAGTACTTGTATTGGGTGGCTTCAAATGTACGAGTGGCTAATTTTTCAATTTCTATTCCTCAGCCTGACGACACCAACCTAGGAGAAATCTTAGGTGGGAGGCTCCGTCACAATCGCCAGCAAATCAACTTATCATCTCTCAAAGATCAACTACGCAAAACACAACTACCTCGCTATCAACAACCTCACTATCACTCTGACGACACCCACCTAGGAGAAATCTTAGGTGGGAGGTTCCATCAAATACCAGCAAATTAACTAACCACCTCTCAAAGGTAAACCACTCAACTTACCTATAATAAACACTCGTCAACAGCTTCACTTTGCCCATTTCAACTACTTGACCAAGCCCAAATTCTTCACATCTACAATCCTCGACTCAGCAATATAAGGAAAACTTCATTCTTCAACGTCATCTCGCCCACCTCAATTACTCGACTACGAAACAATTTCACTCTTTTTCAAACCACAATAAGCAATAATTCAAAGCAACCCACTTTAAACGATATCTCAACACAAGAACCCCCAACTCAACTACTCTCTCCAAGCTCCACTCCATCGAACAACTCTACTATCAACGACAATACACGAGACTCGCCCTTTCACCAATGCATCATACCTCATCGATTCAACTCTACCATCACGCCACGACACCAAACTCATCCCTTCATCAACGGAACACCCCTCATTGATACTCTCGAACTACATCTACCAACTAAGATTCAACCACTACCTAATCAAGATTGTTATACACGCAAAAACAAAGGCCAAGAACTACGAGAAGCGATCATGTTTCGTCATGTACTCTATGTTATTTGTAAAGAAACCGGAAATGAAAACAAGAAATCAGAAGAAGATGGAAAAATGAAACCAAGAAAAAAGAAGGAAAATCAAGAAAATTACATTGTACAATTGTATGTACGCAATGCTATGTATTGTATGTATTTTATCATGTAACCTGTCCACACAGCTAGCTCCTGGCTCGAATGGAGTGAGCTGTGTGGAAGGAAATATATTAAACACAAAAAAAAAAAAAAAAACAACAGCGACAACAAACTAAGCAATCACACGTTATATTTTTTAACATGATTAGTAAAATAACAAACATTTGGCATGCAATAACAATAAGAAACTAAAACAAACTTTCTCATTTTAATAAAAGATTATGACGCTAAAATATGTAATTTCCCATTTCCCATTATAGCATTTATTTTGGTAATCAAACATTTAATTAAAAAACAGTTCGTCAGCCGGGAATCGAATCCGGATCGACTGCTTGGAAGACCCCATGCTGACCTTTACACCACGACACTCAAAATGGGAAATAATAATTTATAATGAACAAATTTGAGAATACAACCTTCTGATGATTTGTTGACGGTGATTGAGTATTCTTACCTTCGATTGTCGTCACACACATTGAAGTCTAGCTGAGGTGTACGTACGACTACAGACTAGAGCCATTCAACAACTGGAAATAGAACTTCTTTTAGATAACTAAGTGATTGATTCGAACAATGACGTCGTAAATACATCACTGAAAATATCGAGTTCTTGAAAAAAAACCATTAACACTTCCAGACGTAAAAATGGTGATTTCTATTGACCTTTTTGGGGTCACCCAAAAACCACATCACAGTAGTGGTGGATGGAGTGTTAGAAAGTAAATAAAAAATACTATGCGTCAGCCGGGAATCGAACCCGGATCGACTGCTTAGAAGGCAACCATGCTGACCTTTACACCACCGACGCCGATGCATAACATGTCTCAATTTCATTCAAATTCAAATTGGATTGTGATTATTTTGAAAGCTTCGAATATTGACCTATTTGTAGTCACACTCCTGAGAGGGGGGGGGGGGAGAAACTTCAACTGGAAATTTCAACTTTCTAGAAGTCAACTATTGACAATAAAACAAGGAATTTGAGGAATCTGAATATTGATCTGCGTATGGTCATCCATAAACAATATCACAATGGGTTGAGGGGGGGGGGGGGGGAGGAGGAGGTGGGGTGGAATATGGTGACAAAATGTTGCCATTGATCAGAGCTAAATGGTAGCGTGTGGTCCAGGAAGTGAAGACCGCTTTTTATTTAAAAAAATAATGTTTGAATCTTGCTACTCTGCTGTTATCCCGCTATTAAATAAACGTTTTTATAAAATGTAACCTTTACACCACCGACGCTTTCATGTAAAGGCAAAAGATAAATTCTAGATCGTTCGGATCAGCTGATGACAGTGATTGAGTAATATTTCGTACATATGACGTCACACGTCTCCGCCGTACTCTGTTTTGGGCAGCCCTCTTTATAAGCCCGGCAACCAGAGGCGTAGTGACCCTTCCCGGCGCCCGGGACAAACTTTTCGATTTGCACCCCACCCCCTTGAGATTTCGATTTGCACCCCCCCCCCCTCAAACTTTCGATTTGCACCCCCCCTCGAGATTTCGATTTGCTCCCCCCCCCCCCCCCAATCAAACTGTCGATTTGCACCCCCTCAACCTTTCAATTTATTTTTCCAACCCATTTTGACGCCCCCTAAGGTCGGCGCCCGGGGACATATGTCCCCCCACCCGCCCCCCCCCCCCCCCTCGCTACGCTACTGCCGGCAACCCTTGCCTCTTCTATTGTCCTTCTCCAGGATTTCCTTGGCCTGTCTACTTTCCTCTTCCTCTAGGGACTCCAGTCTAACGCTTCTGATAAAATTAGACTGGTCTACGATTTGACAAATTATTGGATAAAACATAAAACAAGTAAGGCTGGTACGGGTTGTGGAGTCAATGACATGTAAATAAAGTTTAAACCCGTATTTGCTACTATTATTAGTTTAGCCTGAAGCCTATCTTTATTGAAAACTGCAAGAGAACAAAATTGTTTGTTCCGTGTATAATGTCTGCATTGTTAAAATATCGAATAATCCCAATAAGAAGGAATACAAATGATTGCCTATCTAAGTGCAGTCATTAATTAACACTACACGCCTTTATAGGTGTTCCATATAGGAAGCCGAATGGACAACTGATAATTTTTTTTTAAACCACAAGTCAACGGCCACAACAAAACAATCGCGTTTTTTTTTATTACTTTAACTAGTAAAATAACACATATAAACTCCTTTATTATTACAAACATTGTACATGCAATGAAAATAAGAAATTAAAATAAACTTTCTCCTTTTAATAAAAGCTTATGTCGTTAAGATATGTAATTTCCCATTTTATAGCATTTGTTTTGGTTATCAAACATTTTATAAAAAAAAAACAGTTCGTCAACCGGGAATCGAACCCGGATCGACTGCTTGAAAGATCTATGCTGACCTTCACACCACGACATTATGGGAAAAGATAATTTTTAATGCGCAAATTTTGGAATACAACCTTCTGATCATTTGTTGATGGTGATTGAATATTCTTACCTTTAATTGACGTCAAACACCTTGCTAGATTGCCTTACTAAGTGCAGTCAATTATCTCCCATATTAAAATATAACCACATTAAAGGGAAAATAAAAATGTATCCTCGTTCATATTTTAATTAATACTTTGGCTAGAAAAAGGGTTATATAATATTTAAAAGTGTTTTCCTTATTAACAAAAACATTATTAGATTGTTCGTTTGATTCATACTTGGAGTATTTTATTTTTAAAATTAATAAACAAAGTGACTAAATACAAAAACAAAAACTCGTTATTTTATTGTCTTTTTATCTTTATAAATTTACACGATACTCCATTATGAGTACTTCTTGCAATTTCCAAAAAGTACATCCAAAATTTTTTTTTAAACTAGAAGTAACCAGGCACAACAAAACAACCGCACTTTATTTTATTAACATAACTAGTAAATTAAAAAATTTAAAGACCCCATTAATAACAAGCCTTGTACATACCATTTTTTTTTCTGAAATCAAACATTTTATCGGAAAACAGTCCGTCAGCCTGGGTTCGAACCCGGATCGTTTGCTTGGAGGACCCCATGCTGACCTTTACACCACGACAATCAATATGTGAAAGGATAATCTCTAATGCACAAAATGAGAATACAGCCCTCTAATCATTTGTTTACGGTGATTGACTACTCTTACCTTCAACTGATGTCACACACCTTGAAGTCTAGCTAAAGTGGTTAGCTTAGGTATGACGTCATTTTATTGAAGATGTGGGGGGCGACTTCGGGACTTTCAGTCTATGTCAGGGGTCGGCAACCTGCGGCTCGCGAGCCGCATGCGGCTCTTTCGATGTCATGATGCTGCTCTCCAGCTCCTTGCACTAATATTAATAGTTCTATTATTTCATTTTAAAAATTCAAAACAAATATTACACTGTAAAGAAACACAACTTTAATTAAACAGGAGAAAAATACTCACCAGAGGACAGTGAAAATACGTGCATTAGAAAGTATACGGACACCCAATAGCAGCTTGGGCACCTGGCCCAACCCCACAGCCGTTGCAATAATTCCATGCTTGCCACTGCCCAAGTGCCGACTTTTTGAATATCGTTAAACGGGAATGTTATTTTATTCAGAATACATTTCCCTATCAGTCAGTAATCATTAATTTGTCCTGAGTGACGTAGTTTTTTTTTTATAGTTTTTAGCTTCTTACGGCCATTGTGGGTTGGAAGATAAGCCTGGTGAGAACCAA